AAATAAAAATTGAATCTTGCATCCATGTCTCAAAGTTTGTTGTAAGAGAAATGAATTTGCAAGCTAGAATTCCTTTGAACAATCCTAAGTAATATTTTTCCCCTCTTCATGTGTCTTATTTTGCTACTTTCAAAGCTGATTTTCAGAGAGAGAGAGAGAACCAATCAGTCAGTTATCTCTTCAACAGGCTCCTTCTCCCCTAATAGAAGTGCCTTTAAAATAGCCTCGCTCACCCCATCAGCAATAGAAAACAGATGTCCGGCACCTGGTAATTCATGGTAGTGTATCCATGGAAGCTTTTCAGCAATGTGGCGCTGCAGGGTAACAGGCACAAGGCCATCTTCATCGCCTTGCCACAAATGGACAGAGCCTTCATTATCAAGGAAAGGATTCTTAAGATCCATAGGATCGAATTCCCAACTCCCAAATCCAACCATCAGGTCGCGGTGTAAGGACTCAAATTCTCCTCGTTGTGTCACGTGTGCCTGGTTACCAAAACAAACCGCAGATTCTGAATCATATGCAATTTACAGATGTTGGGACAGTTTTGAACTTTCTCATTTCGATATGTCCTATACTCTAAACTTAGAGCAATCTATTACATGCCATATAGTTCTTGATCATGACCACACATTTGCACACACACAACTAATGCATGAGATTTATGGGTATTTCTTACTCATTCTTCATAAACCAAAATAGAAAAAGATATTACCCTGTCATGTTTTATCCCCCTAAGCTTGGATATAAGTTCTAAATCTTGGCGAGAAAACTTAGGCTTTTGCGCAATGGCGCTCGATGCAGGAAACCATTTCTGAGTGTTCCACCAGTAGGTGAGCCAAGGGGTGTAGTGAGCGACCCGTAAAGCCCACTGGTCTTGTGGATATTGCTGATAGTAGGCTTCTGCAGATATTTTTGCAGGAAACCTAGGCCACCAGTAGTTGATAACCGGAGCAATTAATGTTGCTCCTGAAAGCCTGTCAGCATCCAAAAATTAAAGTTCATAATTGAAACATTAAAGGACTGAATAGAAATATTAGGACTTAGAAGGAAATTCAGTAAAAAGACCTGAATCTTATCTGTATCTGAAGTGGTTAAAGAAATTACATTCCAGATCTTAAGGAAGGATGATAACAAATGGTATGTTGAATGGCTATCCAATATTGTTCTTGTAATTCAATTAAACTCACAATGCAACTGAAATGATCAATTGACTTAATCCACCTTTATGCTATTCAGAAAGATTAAATTTCTTAATGAGTAATCCAGGTAGCAAGAAGTTCCAAGATTATATGTAATTTCCAGGGTACATTGAATAACAGCAAAACATGAACCTTATTTTTCTTCACAAGCATTGCTTTTTCCTCTCAGTGAATTTTTATCTATTTATTATTGTTACATGTTAGTTGCAGTATTTCCCCAAGTAATTGCTGAACTTTGATAATTCAAGATGAATGATTTCCAAGTACTCAGATTTTCAATATGGTCAGTAGAAAATGAATATCTATTTCTTACCTATGAGGAATGTACTTAAGGCATCCCCAAACCTGCTGTCCTCCCATGGATGATCCAATTACATAAAATTTGGATCCAAGTTCTAACTGATCAGCAAGCTCTTCTATATCCATAGCTACACTTTTTAAGGTCCGTTTTGGATCTGGGTCACTGTCTCCATAACCTGGTCTATCAAAAGACACAAAGTAGACCCCTTGTCCTTCAGCCATCCCCTGGAAAAAAACAAACTGAATGTCATTTGGGCAGGAAAAGGTATGGTATTATCCACATAAGAGAAAATGTGTCAATTTAATAACCAATTCTACTGATGTTGCAAATGCCAAGTCATGTCTGCTACAGCCAAAGCCATGAACAAAGATGATCTTGTATTTGGCCTTTTCTTTGGGGACGCCATGCTCCTTGTAGGCCAAACGTCGTCCATCCCTAAGCTTTATTCGTGTTGATGTAACGGGTGGACCGGCTGGTGAGCCACATATCCTGGGAGGTGGGGAACGGGCAGCTTGATACACCCATGCTAGAAACCCGATTAATAGGACCAATATGATTTTCTTAAACATCCCTGACAAAAATGTGCAAAACCCTGAAGAAAAAGAACAGACAACTTCTTTTGTTTTTTTTTTGTTGGGGGGGGGGGGGGGGGGGAGTGGGGGAAGTTAGTCATTGCATTCCCATATGAAAGTACAAACATACAGCATCCCTCAACCACTACATTCTGATCACTTATATTGTTTTTGTGGGAAAAATAACAACTTCCTCCACGCACAAAAAAAAAAAAAAAGAACAGAGTGACACCACTTGATTGATTTCATCCAAGGAGAGCCAATAAGACCAATGATTTTCTGATTGGTGCTTCCCTAAAATCAAAGTATAACTTCCTGATATTAATCCCTCATACCTTTCTGGTAAGGAAAAGTAGAGAGAATATTAGGCAAAAGAAAAAGGGAAGTCAATATGCGTGGATAAAGAAAGTACAACAAATTAGATGCAATCATACAGAACAAGGAAGAGATCAAATTAACCCAGTACAAATGGCAAGAGAGAAAACCTGAGAGAAGTTGTAAAGACTTGTCTTGATTGAACTCTGTATAACTGAAGCTAAGCCGAAGCGCCTAATATCTTCTTGAGGAATCAATTAATTTCTCACAATGTTTGGCAATAAAGTCAAAACCCCAATAGCAAAAATATTCAAAAATTTTCCAAATTTACTGCTCAATAAACGGTGTTCAAATATCCAATTATCCGCAAATTCCGACTCTATCTTACCCAATCCAACTTTATTGATCTGCTACCTGAAAAGATCGAGTAGCCAACAAAAGATTTTCTAATATTTCATAAAAATTGGGTAGGAATGGCAGAATATTTATAAAATTTCTATATTCTTACCCTCTCCTAACCGACCCGCATATATATATATATATATTAGAAAATTAAAATCTAGAAACTCTAATGTTTATTAATGTTTATAGCTTTCTAATATGTGATATATTAATTTTTATGACTTTCTTGTTGTATTTTATTATAATTGTTTCTATATTATCGAATTTATTGTGTTTTATTTAGTATTATTAGTTAATTGTGTTAGTTAATTGGTATATATTACTTAATTATATTATTAAAATGATTCAAAAATTAATAACTAAAAAATATGGGTTCACTTGACTTCCTATCCGATTGTTTTGGACAAAATTCAGGTAAGAATAATACACTTAATCAGGTAGGTAAGTTAAGAAAAAATTTCTTTTGCAAGTATCAGATATGAAAATGGAATACCATAATTCTTATTGGTAGAGTAGAGTGAACGCTTCTAAATAAGCCCTTAATGTAGGGGTGTCCATGGGCCGGGCTAGGCCCTCAAAATTTTTTTTAGGTTGGGTCTAGATAAGGTAGGCTTAAGCCCTTATCAAGGTGAGTTATCAGGCACGTTAGGTCGGGTTTCAGGTAAGGGTAGGCTACCCGTACTCCAACCCGCGAGCCTATTGAGTAAGCCTGCAGATGGGCTTGCTGGGGGGGGGGGGGTCAAACAGGCTTACCATAGACTTTTTTATATACAACTTCGTTTAAAAATAAATGAATATTTTTATAACTTAATATTTTAACAAAAACTTTTTCACACACAATTTCTCAATATATAAAAGGAAATCTCTTGGAGTCTTCGTTGGAGGTCGCATCTAAAACTGAATTTCTTGAAAATGAAAAGAAATAGATCATCAAGTTTCCCTCTTTAAATCACATAGTGTGTACATAATTTTTGTTAAGTTTTAATAGATCACTCCATTGAATATATTTTGTATAGACTGTGTGAGATGAGGTATAGAAAGAAACATTAAAAGTAAAAATTAAGATAAGTTTAGTATAACGGGGATAGGTATAGAATGAAGTGTACTTAATTATTAGTGGGATGGGTATAAATGACGTGAACCTAGTAATTTTATGATTTATAGTTTAATGGAGTGGAAACGGAAATTTGTGGGGTGGAAATAGCTCTACCCTTTCTTATATTAGAACTATTTCTATTTAAGTTTAGGGTTATATATATATATATATATAGATATAGATATATATAAATTTTAAATATTTCCCTAATTTATTCCTATGGCCACATCCCAACACCTATGCGTAGTGGGGAGGGGATGAACTTTTATTATATATTTCCATAAGCCATTCTATCTTAGATTGTAAAGAGATTGTTTTTGCAATTTGAACTCTTGGTGCCTAGGTTACAATGGAGCAAATTTACCATTGTGCTATGGCCTCCTTATTGTCTAGGGTTTTATATGTATACATACTTTTTCCTTGGACCACCCTTGGGTTTCTATCTGTTTGTGCCATTATGGTATTTATAGAGATAAGCAGAAGAAAGCTGTCTTCTCTGAAGCTTTATCTCTCCCGTCAAGGGACAGAACAGAATTCTGCATGAATGGAGCCTAATATTACGATAATTATGCTGCTTTAACGGAGTGTTTGTATAATAATTTGTTGATGGTTGAGCTGCTCTGAAGTTGAGTTGCTGAGTCTTTCTTTACTACAGTTGGTATTTCCCCAGTTGGTATCCTGTTGGCAAGACAAGTAGATCCTGTTTGTTATATGTTCCAATTTTTGAACTCTCAATTCAGGTTGATATATTACCCTCATCACTTCACCTTGTGATGCACAAGATCAAAATGTTTTTTCTCCTTCCAAGTTTTTCTCTTGTTCTGTAAAAGCTTTGTTTTCTACTAACTGAAAACACTTATTTACCCAACAAAAAAATTAAAAAAAAAGAAGATGAATAGTGGGCTGGCGTGCTGGTACAACTAATGTTATCAGAACCGAATCGGTCATCGAACCAGCAAGGAGATCGGGTCAATGGTTCACTGGTTCAACCGTTAGGTCAACTGGTCGTATAATAAAAAAATAAAAATATATATATAATAATTATAAAACATAATAATTTAGTTAAAAAATATAAAACATGTCTAAAATACATATAATTTGTCATAGAATTAATGAAGGTAAGTAAAAAAAAAACACATGTACCAAATATCAAAATTCAACTTTAAAGGTCCAAACTACTTACCAGTCAAGGGCATTAATATAATATTTGTTAAAAGCCTACCTGTTACCTGATATTTTCTATGGATCTGGGACCCAACACGAAATCCTTAGTCCTGTGGGCAATTCCATTCCCACCACCAAAGGTCATGCCTTCAGCAACTACAGAACCAAGCCCTCCACTTGCAGATCCCCTTTGTACAGGCACTGGTGGAGGAGCAGAAGCAATTGGCTGTGGAGGCTTACGTGGTGGAGAGCGGGTAGTAGGATGAGGAACTTACCTCATTGATCTTCCTCTGGAGCTTCGGCGACGACCCAGCAAAAATCGAGTTGAAGATGAATAGGCAGCGATTTGAAGAAGAGAGCTTGGGATCGAGTTGAAGAAAAGAGGTTGGGATTTAGGGCAAAAATGCCCAAAACAGAATTTTTTTTTTTAAACAATTGCAATCCAACCGTCTGGTTTGAACAAACCGTCTAGTTCACCGGTTTTAGCAAAAATCAGCCGGTTTAACAGTTAACAACTGGTTCACTTGCCTAGGCGGTCCAACTCAAAAATTGGAACGGTCTATATCCCAGTTCACGATCTAGCCGGTCAAATCGCCCCGGTCCGGTCCGGTTCTGATAACACTAGGTACAACTAGAACGCTTCACATGTTTTATTTTCGCACTACTGCTATTGGGACATAATTTGAGAATATAATAAGTTGTCACCAATAAAATGTTTTAAATGATAAGTCTCATTGTAACATTAAATGAATTTCACTCTCATTCCATTGGTGACAAATTATGCCCTTAAATTATATCTCAATAACATTGCACTTTATTTCTGTGTTTGTATTATTTTTTTTTTTTGTGGTGCAAAATTAGTTTCTTAGTGAGAATTCTTTCAAACTGATAATGATTGGTTTAAGTCTGGACCCTTTTAGAGCCCAAGACTCTAGGGTTGCATAAAATGGCTCAAGTAGCTCAACCAAACGAACTCTCCTAAACACGAACTGGGCCACATGTCGGTTGCATGGAAGCTTAGAGTAACAAGCCCAACACGATAACAAACTTCAAACTTCAAACTCAGGAGCTTGGTACAAGGTCAGTCTACAAAAACTATAGTGTGACATGTGAAAAGGGGACAAGAGAATATTATCTAACGACTTTGCTGAACAAAAATCCACAGGTAGTGCAGACAGATCAAGTACTATAGTTGGCGAGTAGTGGGTGCATAAAGGATTTGGAAACCACAACTTTAGGACAAAGACAAACACAGAAGAGACCACAGAATCAGCTAAAAGGGACAAACACAAAACCCATATACCAAAGCCAGGCTACGATGTCTGGAATTTCTTCTGCAAAATTCGACATGATGAAGTTCGACAAAACTGGAAATTTTGGATTATAACAGAAGAGGTTGAAGGACCGGTTAGTGCAGCAGGGTGTGGTGAAGGCGTTATACGGAAAGCAACAGGCAGGAATGGACAACATGGATTGGAAAGAATTAGAAACGAAGGCTATGATGACTATTAGACTTTGTCTGGCTGATGACGTGATGTATCACATCATGGATGAGGAATCACTGGCAGAAGTTTGGTTGAAACTGAAAAGTCGGTATATGTCCAAGTCGTTGACGAACAAGCTCTATCTTAAGCAGAAACTATATGGTCTTAAGATGTCATAGGGCTCGGATCTAAGCCAACACATCAACGTGTTCAATCAGATCATCAACGAGTTGATGTGAAGTTCGAAGACGAAAACAAGGCGTTGATGTTGCTAAATTCCCTACCGGTGTCTCTTACGTACGAGAATTTGGTTACGACTCTGATGTGGGGGAAAGAAACCCTCGAGTTGGAGGATGTCACAGGTGCTCTGTTAGGTTTTCATCAGCAAAGAAAGCCAGTGATGAGGCTTCACAAGGTGAAGGGCTTGTGGTGAAAGGTAACCAGGAACGTGAAAGAAGCAAATCTCGAAATGGATCGAGTAACAATAAAGCCCGGTCTAAGTCGAGGAAGAAGAAGGACATCTCGTGTTACAAGTGCGGGAAAAAGGGGCACTTTAAACGGGACTGTCCAAAGAAAAAGAAAGAGAATTCAGAGGACAAAGAAGGTCCATCAAAGTCTACAAACGCAGTGGAAGAAGAAGATTTAGAGAGCGGTGACGGTGATATGCTTTCTGTTTCATCCAGTTCAGATCGTCTAACAGATTTCTAGATTATGGATTCAACATGTTCATATCACATGACACCCAACAAAGATTGGTTTGACACCTACAGATCAGTAAATTCTAGTTCTGTTGTGATGGGTAACGATGCATGCTGCAAAGTTGTTGGAATAGGGAATATTAGAATTAAGATGTTTGATGGTGTGGTTAGAACGTTGTGTGATGTTAGACATGTACCGAATCTAAGGAAGAATCTGATTTTATTGGGCACTTTAGATTGTAATGGTTATAGTTACAAATCTATAAGTGGAGTAATGAAAGTAAGTAAAGGCATGCTGACAGTGATGAAGGGACATAAAGTAGCAGAAAATATTTACAGACTGCTGGGTACCACAATTGTAGGTGGAGTTGCTGCTGTAAAGTCTGAATCAGATAGTACAGTCTTGTGACATATGCGGCTGGGTCATATGAGTGAGCATGAGATGATAGAGTTTCATAAGAAAAATCTATTGAAGGGTGTCAAGACATGCAAGCTCAATTTTTACAAATATTGTGTTCTTGAAAAACAGAACAGGGTGAAGTTCAAGACAGCCACACACAAAACTGAGGGGATTCTCGACTATGTCCATACAGATGTTTGGGGACTAGTCAGCGTAGTATCACGGGGAGGATACATGTATTTCGTGAGTTTCATTGATGACTACTCGCGAAAGGTCTGGGTGTAATTCATGCGGCACAAATCCGAAGCATTTGCCAAGTTCAAGCTGTGGAAAGCTTAAGTAGAGAACCAGACAGGGAGGAAGATTAAATGCCTCAAGTCAGACAATGGTACTGAGTACACAGATTCAAAATTCCAGGAATTGTGTGAGCAGCATGGAATCAAGAGACACTTCACAGTCTGCAAGACACCATAACAAAATAGTGTAGCGGAAAGGATGAACAGAACGATAGCTGAGAAAGCTCGGTGTATCAGGTTGAATGTAGGGCTTGCAAAGAATTTCTAGGCAGAGACAGTAAATATGGCATGTTTCTTGATTAACAGATCACCGAGGGCAGCACTAGATGGGAAAGTATCAGAGGAGGTGTGGCTAGGCAGTGAGGTAGACTACTCTGGTTTGAGAGTGTTTGGATGTCCAGCCTATGTACATGTTTCTAGTTAGGAGAGGTCGAAGCTTGATGCGAAGTCTAGACAGTGTATCTTTCTGGGGTGTCAGAAAGGGGTGAAAGGCTTCAAGCTATGGGATCCGAAGGCAAACAAGATGGTGGTTAGTAAAGATGTAGTTTTTGAAGAAAAAGCCATGTTGCAGCGTACTTAGAAAGAAGAGAAACAAGTGCCAGAAAACTGTAGCACTAATGAGCATGTGGTGTAGGTGGAGCCAGAGAACCATGGTAGAGAAGAGGATGCTCAGCATGTAGAGAGTTCTATCTCAGGTGATCAGCAGCATCACAGTATAGCCACAGATAGGCCCAAACGCAATATCAAGCCACCTACCAGGTATGGTTTTGAAGATTTGGTTTCTTATGCCCTTATTAGTAGTAGCGGGGATCCTATAACTTTTCAGGAGGCAGTACAAAGCCAAGAGAAAAGTAGATGGATGGGTGCTATAGTAGAGGAGATGGAGTCTCTGCATAAGAACTAGACATGGGAGTTGGTGGAGCTTCCCGAGGGGAAGAGAGCGATAGGGTGCAAATGGGTGTATAAGAAGAAAGAAGCAGTATCAAAAAAGGAGGGAAAAAAATTCAAGGCTCGTCTAGTAACAAAGGGTTACTCACAGAGAAAAGAGGTTGACTATGATGAAATCTTCTCCCCTGTGGTCACACACACTTCTATCAAGACAGTGTTGACATTAGTAGCACATTCAGATATGCAATTGGAGCAGATGGGTGTAAAGACAACTTTCCTTCATGGCGACTTGGAGGAACAAATTTACATGGTGCAGCCAGAAGGGTTCAATCTCTCTAGAGAGAAACAGTTGGTCTATAATTTGAAGAAATCACTTTATGGGCTGAAGCAGTCTCCGAGGCAGTGGTACAAGCGATTTGACTTTTACATGATCCGGATTGGTTACAAAAGGTGTGAGTATGATTGTTGTGTCTATGTGAAATCCTTGATGATGATTCATTTATTTTTCTGTTACTTTATGTGGATGATATGTTGATTGCTGCCAAGAGTATGAGTGAGGTCAACAAGTTGAAGACTTTGTTGAGCAGAGAATTTGACATGAAGGATTTGGGTGCGGCCAAGAAAATTCTTAGGATGGAGATTCGTAGGGACAGAGCTTCCAGGAGATTATGGCTATCTCAGCAAAGCCATGTTGAGAAGGTGTTGGACAGGTTCAGCATGAATTATGCAATTTCAGTAAGTACACCTTTGGCGAATCATTTCAGATTATCTACCGCTCAGTGCCCGAAGACAGATTATGAAATTCATGACATGTCAAAGGTCTCATATGCTAGTGCAATAGGGTGTTTGATATATGCTATGGTTTGTACAAGACTAGATTTGGCACAAGTTGTCAGCGTGGTTAACAAGTTTCTTTCAAATCCGAGTCGACAGCATTGGGATACAGTCAAGTGGATTTTTAGATACTTGAGGGCACTATAGACTATGTCATCATGTTTAGCAGACAACAGAGTGACCTTTCAGTTGTGAGATATGTGGATGCAGACTATGCAGGGGACTTGGATGACAAGAAGTCTACCACAGGTTATGTGTTTACTCTTGTGGGAGGACCTATTTGTTAGAAGTCCGTGGTACAGTTTATAGTTGCATTATCTACTACTGAGTCAGAGTATATGACAGTAGCTGAGGCTGCCAAGAAGACTTTATGGCTTACAGGTTTAGTCAAGGAGCTGAGTGCCAAGCAAGATGGAGTTCAATTGCATTATGACAGTCAGAGTGCCATTTATTTGGCAAAGAACCAAGTATATCATGCGAGGACCAAGTACATAGATGTGAGGTTTCATAAGATCAGGGAGCTGGTTTCTTCTGGTGAACTATTACTTGAGAAAGTTCACACTTCTGAAAATGCAGCAGACATGTTGACAAAGCCTGTTATTACAGACAAGTTCAACCACTGCTTGAACTTGATTAATGTCTCTAGTTGCTAGATGGGAGATGCCCCAACTTAGTGTCCCAGGTGGAGTTCCCGGATACATGTTCTCTTTTTTTCTTCTAAGGAGTGAATATTTGCTAAGGTGGAGATTGTTAGAGTATGTGTAACTCATATTTGTTATGTGCACAATAGTAAAGAGGCAGATGTCGGAGCAGGCGAAGTAGAGCAAAATGGAGCCCGCGACGGCATCTCCTTTGCAAAATTGATATATTTTATGTATAAGGGGGACACTGATTAGTTGGGAGTGCGGGGGCAACGCCCCCGTAGTACGATATAAGGGTATTTTGTAAATACGTTCGTACTAGGGTTATATAAATACTTAAGATGTAACCCTACTTTGAAATAATAGAAAAGAACAGCCGCTCGCTCCTGTGGATGTAGGCACATTGCCGAACTACGTAAATCTCTGTGTTATTTTCTCTTACTTTCTTAATTGATTGATTCCGTATTATTTATCATAATTGCTGCACGATTAAAACACAACCTTATTTCTCAAACAATACAATCTCTAATGAGCAAGAGTCTCTCTTACAGTGGACATAACCTTAGTCATATGGCTCAGGTGAACCACTCATATTTTGTCTTTCTATTGCATGATACATATAACATACACATTCACATTCTCCCATATACACACACACACTCGTTGGACTTTGTTCTCCAACCCGGTCCGATTAATTTCGAGCTCCACACAAACCATCCTATAAGTAATGTAAGGGGTAGAAATCGCTACAGGATTTCAGCCCTCCACTTGAAGGATTCTGGCTGACCTGGCGGCACCGAGCCCCAGTAACTTTTACCTCTCTTCGCCAATAGGACCCTTTCCTAAGACAATCCCACATCGGAAGAGAGTCGTCTCCCCCCTTGCCATATAAGTGAATACTTCCTGTGGAGGAGGTACCCACTAGCGACCTGATCACGTGCCTAGTGGGTACCTCCTCCATAGGAAGTATTCACTTATATGGCAGGGGAGAGACGACTCTCTTTCGATGTGGGATTGCCTTAGGAAAGGGTCCTACTGGCGAAGAGAGGCAGAGGTAAAAGCTATTGGGGCTCGGTGTCGCCAGATTAGTCGGAATCCTTCAAGTGAAGAGATGAGATCCGTAGCGATTTATACCTCTTACAACTAACATTGTTCCTGACTTCACGACTCTTATTTTGCTATTTTCAATGCTCTTATTTTACTTTCACATTCCCAATTTCATCTGACAATTGTTAAATAACCAGGCCGACTCTAATAATTAAGAACTGTCATAAATAACCTTGCATCAGATATTTGAAGCACTGTTACAATATAGATTCTACTTTGGAATCAATGCGAGAACAACTTTCTTTTTTCATAGTAGCACAAAAGGTAAATCAACCAGGTATCCATGCTACCGGCTGCTTCTTCGCAAACAGAAGTGCCTTTAAGATAGCCTCGCTCACACCATCAGCAACTGGAAACAGATGTCCGGCACCTGGTAATTCATGGTAGTATACCCATGGAAGCTTTTTAGCAATGTAGCGCTGCAGCGTAACAGACACAATGCCATCTTCATCCCCATGCCACAAATGGACAAAGCCTTCAACATCCACCCAAGGATTCTTAAGATCAAATTCTCCTTCTTGTATCACGTATGCCTGGTTATCAAAGCAAGTGAAAAATTAGGAATCATGTGTGATTCTCAGTTGTTGGACCCTTTTTGACCGACTTGTTTTGAACAACTTTCACACAAATTTCCTTAACCATGATATCTCTAAACTCCAAACTTAGAGCCATGTATTGCATGTCACATAATCGCTATTAATGGGATCTAGAACCCACAGGTTGCATGAATTTTGAACATTTTTAATGCTGAATTACTTATGAATTGGTTTTCTTATGCAGTAAGTTCTCGATCATGATCAGACGTATACACACAAACACACACCCACACGCATGAGACTTATTACCCCATCATAAGCATTCTTCATAGCACGACATATGAAAGAAATATTACCCCATCATGTTGTCTCCCCTTAAGCTTGGGCATAAGTTCCAAATCTTGGCCAGAATACTTGACCTTTTGAGTAATCAAGCTCAAGGTAGGAAACCATTTTTGAGTGTTCCACCAGTAGGTAAGCCAAGGGGTATACTGAGCAACGCGTAAAGCCCAAGGGTCTTGTGTAAATTGCTGATTGTATGCTTCTGCAGATAAATTTGCAGGAAACCCAGGCCACCAGTAGTTGATAACTGGAGAAATTAATGTTGCTCCTGCCAGCCTGTTAGCATCCAAATATTAAACTCTATAACTGAAACTCTAAAGAACTAAATAGAAATATTAGTCATCTGGAGCAGTAATCAAAGTTCAGGGACTATTTAGGTAATTAAGTTCCCTGAACAACAATTACCCCGAATAAAATGTCAACAATATTAGACACAATCAATCAATATTCACACAGGAAAAGATGGTGTTTGTAAAGAAAAATATCCACACAAATCAATATTCTGATACCTGTGAGGGATGTACTCAAGGCATCCCCAAACCAGCTGTCCTCCCATGGACAATCCAATCACATAAAATTTGGATTTGAGTTCTAACTGATCAGCAAGCTCTTCTATATCCAGAGCTGTACTTTTTAAGTTTCGTTTTGGATCTGGGTCGCTTTCTCCATAACCTGGTCTATCAAAAGACACCAAGTATGCCCCTAGTTCTTCAGTTATCCCCTGAAAACAACACAACAGAAAGTCATTTGAAGAAAACTGTGGAAAAATACACCCGGATAAGCAGAAAATTGTCAATTTAATGACCAATCATAAAACTACCGATGTTATAATTGCTAAGTCATGTCTGCTACTGGCAAAGCCATGAACAACGATGATCTTGTATTTGGCCATTTCTTTGGGGATACCATGCTCCGTATAGGCCAAATGTCGTCCATCCCTAAGCTTTATTCGTGGTGCTGTGATGGGTGGACCGGTTGGGGAGCCACATATCCTGGGAGGTGGGGATTGGGTAGCTTGATATGCCCATGCTAGAAACGGGATTAAAAGGACCAATATGATTTTCTTAAGCATCCCTGAAAAAACATGCAAAACTTTAAGAAGGAAAAGAACAGACAGCTTAACAAACCAAAGCTTAGAGATACTGGTATAACACCTCATATTTTGTCTTTACTTGTTCCTTGTAAAGGGCATTATGTAGATCAGAGTGAAGATTCATAATGTGAGAAACATTACCAGGTAAAGTTTTGAGAGAGAAAAAAAGAAAAGAAAAGGAACAACAACAATTCACTTGTTATTGGCCTTCAATAACACTTATCCCCTTCCAAAGCGGGGGAAAAAGGATTTAATTGGTAAAATCACAGTAATAGAAAAAGTCTAAACCTAGACCACAACTATTTGATTGAATGAGAACATGTGATGTAGGCTTTTATCAACAGAAATTGCATTTCCACATAAATAAGGATAATAAAGTAGAAAACTGCATTACACCTCAATCACCCCATTCTGATCATTCTATTTGTATCATAGCTTTAGCTTCTTTTTTTTAAAAAAAAAAAATTAGTAATAACAAACAAAACCAAGTCATTGCCACAGAGACTCAAATGATATTGTACTGAGGAATAAATCGCAATTTCCTCCACACCAAAAAAAAAAATTGCAATGAAGAGTGACACCAATTGATTGATTTCATTCAAGGGCAGTAAATAAAAACCTTAGGTAATATATTTTCCAAGTTCTTTTTTTTTTGGGAGAGGGAAGGGGAAGGGGGGAGGGGATTTTTCAAAGTTCTTTTAGTTTTTCTTTTCTTTTTTGTTTCAAGTAACTAGTGTTTGTTTTTGTATATTTGGTTTTTTGCTTTTTCCTTATTTGGGTTTTCTCTATTCTTTCAAACTTAATTATTTATGTAAGAGTATGCATATACACATATATAAAATATAAGATTATAATCTATATCCTAAGTTTCAAACAAATCATTCTTTGTGATCAAATAAATATGTTTATGTTATTAAAAAAAAAAGAAGATCAAATATGTTTATACTTCTGTGATGAAAAAAAATCGTTGTATGATTTCTGCCCGACACTCTAGTAAAAAAATAAAAAGAAGACAGAATATGAGGAAAAAGAAAAAGAGAAGTGAATATGTGGGATCAAGAAGGTACAAGAAATGATATGCAATCATGTAGAATAACAAAGAGGACAAACCAACCAAGTTATTAAGGAACACAATGAAACCCAGTAGCGTACAAACGGCAATAGAGAAAACCTGGAAGGAGTTGGAAGGACTTGCCCTGATTGACCCTTGTGGATTGATGCTAAGCTGAAGCTAGCGGCTGATATCTTCTTGAATAATCAATGCATTTCTCACAATATTCAGCTAAGAAAATTAAAACCCCAATTCCCAAAAGCAAAATTGCTTTAGAGTTTGCAAATTTATAGCTTAATAAAACCCAAAAACGTGCAAAAGTCGAGTATCACTGTATGGAGAGAGAGAGAGAGAGAGAGACCACGGTCACCCAGATGATTGGAACTCTGGATGATCAAGAAAATATGTAGAACTCGAAGGTCATCAGGATTAAATGAAGCTAAAATCTTACTATCTTACAGTATCAAACTTAAGTTGAGAGGCTGTCTTCAATCTCCCTGTCTCTCTTTTCTAATAATGATTTTCATAAGCATTTTTATATCTAAATTAACTAAAAGCTATAAGTTTGTATTTTGAGGGTATTTTGAGGTTTTGTTGAGGGTTCTTATATGGTGCAGTGATAGAAGTGTCGAAGTAATAAACATGAATTTGCTGCTTTTATTTCATCCCTTATACTAACACCAATTAATGGAATCAAACTGAATAATAATACTTCATCTGTAGAAGATGAAGAAGCTCAGCATTTCTAAATTTTTCATTGTACATTTGAAGAAAAAAGAGTCTCGTCAAAGTTCATGTAGGTGATTAGATAGAACACAAGTGTACCATATTTAGAAGTGAAAACTACTTGACACCATCCACAAACTTCACCTAAATTATATTGAATGGAGCATTATAAAGGAATGAACCACTCCTGGATCTTCATCATCTAAGGCAGAAGAACATATGACAAAAATAAAATGAAATTATCCTTACATTTGATTCCAAAAGAGTAGTCTAAGAAATAAATAAACTACTATTTGATAAATTTTTTTAATAATTTTCTAAATAAGAAATAATTATGACATAAAAATATGAACATATGGGTTAAACTTTACATTTGATTAAGCTTGAAATAAGGGGCAAGTCTAGATAAGAAAGTAACAAATTTATAAAAGGTAAATACCAGCTCAAAAAATTATTTTAAAGCATAAAAAACAATGGAATATTAAACTAGCCTTATTAAATACTATCTAATTTCAAAACTTAATTGGTCTCTATCTTCATGGTGGACTATTTAGCAATGAGCTAGAGTAGAAAACAAGGACATAACTAGGACCATGGCCGTCTGTAATATTAATTTATAAATGTAATGTGAGGATGACTGATAAATTATTGGATTAATAGAAATGCAGGCCACAGGCAACATGTATTCACAAACCTTAAGACTTCATTCCATTGTTACAAAAAGATGTGTGTTGTTTATGGTTTGTTAAAAAACATGTTAACGATCAAGATTTTTTTTCTTTTTTGATCAAATAGAAGAATATGTTCAATGGATCGGAACAATTATGTGACATAGTGATGAAGCGGTCATAGAAAGAAAGTGTTCAAGCAACAAACGCGCTTGTCTTTTTTTTTTTATTAACCTGGTTCATCACGTTCACCCATAATTACTGTCCAAATCTTAATTTTTCGGTTTCAAAAAGGCTCAAACCCAAAATTTGGTATAGAAAAATGGCCGCCCAAGAATTCATTTACATGAAGAAAACTATCTTGATTGAAATTAATAGCTAATCAGGGTTAAGATGATGAATATTTTAAACTTTGTATTACACAAAAAAATATAGAGCGTAGGCCTTAACACAACAGTAAAAATTGTTTCATTGTGACTTGGAGATTTCGCTGAAACAACCCTTTTTTACTACATAGAAGAGAGTACAGAAAGCATTCCGACATGATCTCATCCTACAAAGATCCTTGATTCCAGCTAAGCTAACTCGAGAATTGCAGGACTGAGTTTTAAATGTTCAAACACTAATGAAAACAAAAAGTTCAATCATGCTCAAGCCACATCTAACATGGACCTAGAACGAAACACCGTAAAAATTTGTATGGGAAATGCCAGAAGCACTGTATGGATCCACCCTGTTTCTTTTGCTTTTTGCTAAAAGCCCGTCAGCACCAAGACGTTGCTGATCATATAAATATAAAGAAATGGACGCCAATGCTTTTTGTCATCCATGTACGACTTCAACACGATAGCATAGCCACCATATTACAACTCCGGAGGAAATCTAAGGCTCTTCCCGGCTATCAAAACCTCCTGCTCTGGTAGCTCCTAGGAATCCAAAGCCTTCTTCAACTTGTCTCTGCAGTTTTTTCTTGGTTTGTTAGTATAGTTAGTCTCTTGTTTGCTATTGTCCACTTTGCACAACAATAACCATATTAACCACATCCTTGGACGAATGCCAAAAGCAGGTGTTCATCTTATTCGGTAGAAAATAAATCAGATGTTTCTGCTCAAAGGTAAGAAAATCTCTAACCGCTTTTAAATTCTTTCCTTTAATTCCCCGTGTATTCCAATTGGAAAAAGTTTAGAATAGTGAGAATATAAATAGCTTGAAAATCAGAATACAGCAAACATAAGTTAGACAAGCACCATTGTCCAAGGCTCCCAGCCATAACATGACAGAACTAATCGGATCGCAACACCATCAGGTGAACATGTGATCATATTACCAATGAATGCTGACAAAATGAAAGAGATTTCCAGTTCACTACATGGAAAGAATACATCAAAATGATGAGGACTTACCCCATTCAAGAACTCAAAAACAGGGCTTTTATAATTTAGCAACACCCCATATCTCCATAACTCAATGGTATTGTTTATATCATTGTGCAATGCATTAAAAGTTTCCAGAAAAGATACCAATTATTCTACTACCCAATAGCAGCTTATGTTAAGTTCAGAGTGCCTGTATGCATTTCAATTCTCTGCCGGAACACAGTATCTGATATCAATACTATAAATGTGATACACACAGTGTACACTACAACTGCAGATACTCTGTTTAAAGCAAACAACATCATAACAAAAAGATACCCAATGCACTAAACTAAATGTTTTTACTGCATGAACAAGTGAAGGGTGTTAAGATGTGAGAAGCCTCTCAGTTAAAGATAGGGTTAGACCTTGAGAAAAGGGGGTTCAGGTTACTGGAGGCATTACTTGAGAAGAATCCTAAAAAGCAGAGGCAAAGACGAGTGCGAAGCAATTTGGAAAGAAAAAAGCAGCACCTGAGGATTTCCCAACACAGCTGTGGGTTGTTCATGAGTGTTATTAGGTAGACTTAGGTTGAGCAAAAAGGGGAGAACTGTTTCAATTGCTAGGAGACAACGGGTAAAAAGCTAATGGTCATCTGGGAGCTTGTGCAGGATGTATGTATTCAAGTCCTGTCCTTTTCTATCATGGAGGCATGGGGATTTATAGAGAAACTTGGATAAGAAAAGGCTCCTAAAATGGGTCAAGAATGCAACCACGTTGATTGAAAGGCATCCTTGAGGTCTCTGATGCAGCGAATGTGGATCTGGCTGGCTAAAGCAGTGTCACCGGAGGCGACCTAGGTTCAAACGTTAAGGTAAGCCCTGCTATTGTACAGTAAGATTGTATGTGGACCCTTTGTATGGTAGGTTTGAATGCCATGATGCATCCCTCACCCACCAAATCACGTGCCTCCTGGATTCCCAGAGGGTAGAAGCTAAGGACAACTGCAATATGGTGTGTGGGAACATACTAGGCCTTGCTCTGCCCATTGATCCCAGGAAACTTTGACACCAATGTGATGCACATGAAGTCACACCATTTGCCCAAAAGGACAGTGGATGACCCCATTCGAGCATTGTACAACACCTATCCCATATAGTGGATGAACGCATTGAGCGTTTCACCAAACCTATCCAACTGTATAAAGTACATGTGAGGTAGCCCTAAAAAATAGAGGGTAGCATTCAGCCACTCGCGATGATCCTACCACATCAATCTGCATGGAGTGTGGTCCCCATTGGGGAGCTGTATTTAGGACAGAGAAAGGGTGATAGCCACTCGGTCATTCCATCTCACCTCTCAATATGGCAGTAATGTAGTGCAGCTCTGGCCACCTCATATCAAAGTCAAGCCACATGTCAGAAATCTTTGAAGTAACATGTGTGTGCATGCTTACATATAACTTCGGCGGAAATGTAATTTGTAAATCGGCTAGCCTTTGTGCATGCAAGTGAAAACCAGCACAATAACACAAGCTCCCAAGCCACCCAGTCTTATGATTCATCATATAAAAATCACATGATTCATCAACTAAATATATGCAAAAGAAAAGTGGAGTCAACTATATACAGCCATCATCTAATTTCTATACCAATTGCAGCAAATCAGTAGAAAAAAATGCTTCCACAAACAGAATATAATACAATATGTATACACTTGGACAAAAATAATTAGACAAAAGCAAAATCTCTCAAGTGCAAAACATTTACTACCACACACTAAACAGTACTTTGGCTCAATAACTAAATCATGCAGTTATACAGACAATTCAGTAGACTATTCCAAAAATAACTGTAAAAAAAGAAGTCCCATCTGTATAAAAAGCCTATGGTGGGAACAAAGCTAAAACTCCCAGATGATAACATAACAATGAAGACATGTCAATTTAAACATTACTGTGAAGAACAATACCAGCTCAAAACATCACTAGCAGCGAAAAGAGCATGTAAATCAAGAAACATGCATAAGCGATCAAACCGCGGTGCTCATCCCCACAAGAAGCAAGCTCAACCAACAGCCTGGTACAAACCCTGGTGGACCAAATCACAAAAAGCCCAGCCATGACCATAATCACCAGCCCACCCTGAGGCACGAACAGCGAAACGGCCGACAAAATCACCAGTGGCAACATACAGTAACCGATCAAGCTCAAGCATCGGTACAAATCCAAATTCCCATTTCGACCCGCCAACATGTTGAACACCACGTACAGAAACAGAGAAGCCACCGTGACCCAACCCAATATTATACCGAAATGGAGCTTTCCGGCGAGTAATTGGAACAACCCAAACGCCATTAGGAACAAAAACGGGCCTGATAAGTCCGCATCCTCGTGTAAATCGTGCTTAATCCTGAACGGGTTCAAAATCGACATCGTTTTGTTCCAAATTTGCTTTGTGTTTATGCCCAGTTCTTCAAGAAGAGGAGGTTCGTCCTCGAAACCGGTGCTGATGCCGCCACCGATTGAGTTGTTGCCGTACTGGGGGATTGGAAACGACGTAGTTGTAGTTGCAGCGCCAACGTCAAATGACATGAAGGGAATGCTAGGGTTTGAGGACCTCGGAGGCTGAAACGGCGCCGTTGGTCGGCGTTGTTGGGCTCCGGGCCCACCAGGGTTTCCGCCGGAAGGAAATACCACCGGCGGGACTTTGAATTCTTTGGCCATGGTACAAGATATGTGAAGATCGATTGGATTGGCTGGGTTTGAAATTCACAGTTTCGAAGAGAAGAAGATCAGGGGTTTTTTGGAGATTGGATTCGCAATTTTGAGCGAATAAATCGATCTTTTAACTCATAAATCGGTTAAATTAGAATTTGTACTTCGGTGAGGACAAGAGACAGGTGTCATCGGAATGTGGCGATCTGGTTCATACTCCAACGTTGCCTTTGGTTTTTCTATGCAAGTATTCTCTTCGACTTCGAGGCTAAGTTAGCGTAATTGTTATTTATTTTCTTTTTTGTAATTTTAAACAAATTACAATGAGAACCCCACTATTTTCTCTTAATTATGTTGAGACCCTTCCAGTACTTTTTTTTTTTGGTCAAAACAAGCAAAGCAACAATTTCATAAAGTAAAAAAATTGAGGTTACAATTAGTCATGAGAGAAGCCTTAAGTTCGGGAGGGGAGACCCTAACCAATCCACTGGAAGTGAATTTTTTTAGCATATTGGCCGTCACCCAGTAAGCAGCATTGTTAAGGGCCCTAGACTTGTGTAAAAAGTTAAGGTTAAATGACCTAACAAAGTATCTAATGTCTTCCATAATTACACTAATTTTCCATGGGAGAACATCCTCATTTGAGCTTAACTTAATAATATTAAGACAATCATTAACAATCGTAGTCTGAGAGATCAGTTGAGCTTCGACAAGTAGGCACACTTGCCTTACTGCCTCTGCCTTAGCCAACAAGGATGAAGAAACAGAGAATATCTTGGCACTGCCGAATTCCAAAACTCCATTGCTCTTGCAAAGAACAACTCGACATGATACCTTAGCCAACTCAGGTTTAAAAGCGCCATCACAGAAGACTCGGTAGTCATCCTCCTCCTCCAAAGGAATTGCCTCACTTGTCTCCTACTCCTATAGACCTTCTAACGATCCCTTTCTCTCAATCCTGAACTGGTCACCCCACATGGACTTGGCTCGTAACACTATGGCGCAAGCATTCACCTCTTTCTTATTGAAAACAAACTGGTTTCTGGCCTTCCAAATAATCCATCCCACAGTGGCCAGTTTCCCCAATAATTCCAGTCTTCGTTGCACATCATTAGCCAAGAGAAGCAAAGTCGTGGATCGTTGGGCCACTGACAAGAAAGATGAATCGTTCTCCAGCAAAACAAGGTCCATTCCGAACCAGACACGCCTAGTCCAGCTACATTCAAACAAGATATGCTCAATGGACTCTGTTGCTAAATTACAGAGCTGGCAAATAGGCGAAGCAACACATTTCTTTTTGAACAAGTTCTCATGGGTGGCTAGGATGTTATGGCAAGCTTTCCACCAGAAATGTTTAACTTTAGGAGCTGCCTTCATGTTCCAAATAAACAGCCATAGTTTAGGGTGTAGAAATACATAAGAGCTTTCCTCCGACTGAACAGAGGCCTCCTTACAGCCCAATTTATACCCAGACCTAACAGTATAGATGCCTTTACTTGTGGGCCACCATATTCTTTTGTCTTTCCTCCCACTCAGTGGCAAGGGGATAGACTTGATAGCTTTCAACTCATTCCTTGATAATAAACTTTCCATACTAGAAGTATTCCAGATTTTGGGGATAGCAGTAATAGCATTAGCAACCTTAGAAATAGAGCAAACCTAGGACCTTGGGGAGTGAATTGCCATATTGGGAAGCTGGGGGATCCACTTATCATTCCAAAAATATACCTCAGAACCATCACCAATTTTTGACATTAACCCTTTTTCAAGAAGCTCCTTGCCATAGAGCAAACTAGTCCAAACCCAAGATGGTCTCACACCTCGCTTTGCTTTCATCAGGTCATCGTTTGGGAAGTAAATCGCCTTCATGAATTTCACCCAAAATGATTCCAGTTGATTCAAGAGTCTCCAACACTGTTTTGCCAATAGAGCTTAGTTAAACAGCTTGAAGTCTTTAAAGCCCATCCCCCCAATAGGTTTTGGTTCAGTCATCTTCTTCCACTTCCTCCAGAAGATGCCTCTGCTCTCTACACTTCCTTTCCACCAAAAGCTTTTGACATATGAGTTGAGCTTAGCGCATAAATTTTTTGGGAACTCCACAACTGACATGACATAATTAGGGATAACCTGGACAACTGCCTTGATCAGAATTTCCTTCCCTGCCTATGAGAGATAATAGCTCCTCCATCCCTGCATTTGCTTGATGACCCTCTCAAGAAGGTATCCAAACACCTCATTCCTTGATCTTCTTCACGCCATCGGGATTCCTAGGTATTTTGCACAATGAGGGAGAGCCTACATGCCCAAGAGATGACTTAAAGAAGCTTTTTGCTCATCAGATGTGTTGCTGGAGAAGATGATACCAGATTTCTGGTAGTTGGCGCACTAGCCCTACACCGTACAGTATAATTGCAAAATCCTCAATAATTCCCTTAATCCCCCATCCTTGGCCTTGAGGAAGAACAGGGAGTCATCAGCAAAGAAAAGGTGTGAGATCACTGGATTCCTCCTTCTAATCTTGTTTCCCACTAGTTTCCTTTTGTAAACCCTAGCCTAGAGCATAGCTGAGAGAACATCTGCAACCAAGAAGAATAAATATGGGGAGAGCGGATCCCACTGCCTGATGCCCCTCTAGGGCGTTACCACTCCAATTCTATTTCCATTAAGCATAAATTGTAGGGTGACTGTACTGATGCACTGCATAATGAGATTCACCCAGCGACGATCAAAACCCAACTTTAACATTGTTGCTTCCAAGAAGTCTCACTCGACCCTGTCATAAGCCTTGCTTATATCCATTTTGATAGCAATTTCAGGCACTTTTCTTTTCTTCTTTCCTTTCAGATGGTGGAAAACTTTGTTGGCAATTGCAATACTGTCTTGAATTTGTCTGTTTGGGACAAAGGCCACTTGGTTTGGGGAAATGATGGAGCACATCATACCTTTCAATCTATTGGCCATAACTTTTGAGATCACCTTGTACAGAAAATTGCATAATGTAATCGGTCTGAACTGTTTAATGGATTCAAGAGCTACTTTTTTCGGGATAAGGACAACATTTTGTGAAATTGATTTCCCTGCTTAGCTAGCCTCCTTCAAAAAAATCTTTAACCATCTTAATGATATCGCTCCCCGCAACATGCCAGAATTTCTGGAAGAAAATGCCTGGAAACCCATCTGGGTCAGAAGCTTTCAAAGCATCTAATTCCTTTGCAGCTTCTTGCACTTCTAGGTCATTAATAGGCTTTAATAGAGCGCATTTCATTTCCTCTGTAACTTTAACTTGTACTGCCAGTAGTGCCTTAGATCAGTCCCTTTCCCCTATTGAGCTAAACAGACTCTGGAAATATCCAGTGATATGGGAGTTGATCTTCTCCTTCCCTTCAATCCAGTCAGCTTCATCAGTCTTAAGCCTAACAATCTGATTACAATTCCTTCTTTGAATGGTAAAAAAATGGAAAAATCTGGTGTTTTGGTCCCCGTCTTTCAACCAATTGATCCTTGAACACTACTGTCAGTACTTCTCTTCTCTGCATCTTACTGCATCAATCTGAGTACAAAGCTCTGCTTCCTCAATCAGGTTTTCCTCTAATAGCTCCAACATATGGACCCAGAGTAGTTCCTCATTTAGCATTCAAATCAAGCTCTTATTATTATCAAACTTCTGTATGCTCCACTCCAAAAGATGGTTTCTGCACGACTTTAGGTTGTTGATGGTATTACGAAACACATAGTTTGGATCTTTCACAATCCAATTACTTTTTATCATTTCTTCACATTCAGGGTCTTCCAGCCACATGCTTTCAAACTTAAAGGAATGGGGGTCCCTTTTAGCATTTAAACCAAGGTTAATCACAATGGGATAGTGGTCAGACCCCATTCTAGTTTCATGCAACACCGTTGTTGAGGGGAAGAGGGCACTCCAGTCTGGATTTACAAGGACTCTATCGATGCGTTCTTGGACATTGACTGCACTTGGCCTATTATTCGGCCACGTAAATTTGGGCCCACTAAAGCTCATCTCAATAAGGCAACAATCTGAGATTAACTGTTGCATTTTCTCCACCCTCCTTGTACTACTGATAGCACCCCCCTCTTTTTCATCCAATGAGCCAATGTTGTTGAAATCTCCTACAATCAACCAGGGCAAGTCGATGGACCTTGCCATATTAATTATATCTTCTTCGTTTTTTCGACCATTGGATCAGCATAGACAAAGGTACAATGCCACAATTTCTGCTGATGGTTTAATCTGCCTTTTACGTTGATTAGATTCTTGGATTTATCCAAGACCAGCAGGTTGGTTTCCTCCTTCCACCACAAAGCAAGGCAACAAGAGAGGCCCACAAGATCCACGTACTCAAAAGGAAAATTTAAAGTTCTTCTTAACTGCTCCAACTTATCAGACTTGTTTTTAGTCTCCACAAGAAAGACAATTTAGGGGCGATGGGTAGTGATTAGCCCTCTAAGATTAGATTGCGGACTATCCGGGGTCACCCGACTCCCTGACAGTTCCAACTGAGCATCAGCATGAATCGCGTGGCTATTTGAGGTCAGCCACCACTACCTTATCAAAGCGACTAGTTGCATCACCCTTGTCAACTGTCTTCCTAGAACGTTGAGCAATCCACAGAGATATACATCTATCAAGGTTATTCTCACCTTTTCCTTCAGTAAGGCCATTATTCCCCTCATCCAGATCATGTTGCATTTGTTCCTCCTCATTCTCAAGATAGGCAAAGTGTGATTCAGAGTTCATTAGACTTCCTCCATTCACTTTCTTTTTGGGTTTACATCTCCTAGTCCATTTCCTTAAAGCATGTTTTCTTCTAAAATTAACAAGGGATATGTTAATAGCAAGTGGGGGCCCAGAAAAAGGTAGGAAAGGGTGAGGAGCACTTGGGCCACTATCCAAAAATGCTTTAGGTTTTTTCCATGGTATTGGGTGGGCTTCCATAGTATCTTCTTCCAACTGGGCTTTCCTTTTAAGCGACATACTCTGGAAATGG